AGCTAGCTGTCACCTGAGCTTTGGAAGAACAATCGAAGAAGTCCTGGATCTCTTTTCTGCACGCCTCGTCGCGGAATTCATTCTGCTTCCAGCAAGCCATCATCATCGACATCTCCGTGATACAGGTCGCCTCTGGAAGGGAAGAACTGGAGGACCTTCAGTCACCGGCAGACCTTATATCTCTCCCGCGCGCCTACCCAGTTACCCCCGCTCCCAATGCTCACCGCCCTTCTCTCGGCGTCTGTTCCCGACAGAGTTAGCTAGGATAAGAGGCTTGTTGGGTTTCAGGATAGGTTTCCCTGGGTTCGCAAACCGCGCCAAGCGGCCGCGCAAACTGGGAGTCGCCATTTTGCAAGGCGTTCCCAGTAGGCTCCGCGCGTCGTGGTGCGTGACCCATCTTGACCCTTACGCAGGAAGGTGCCCGCACGGAGAGGTGCCTGCTTTGGACTCAGCCCCAGGTTACTACTCTGTCCAAGACGCTTTAGGATGCTGTTGTGCGCTGTTGCCTTTGTTATTTTTTTTTTAATATTTATTATGTATACAGTATTCTGTATTTGCATACAGAATATTCTGTCTGTGTGTATGCCTGCAGGCCAGAAGAGGGCAGGCGTTGTGAGCTGGGAATTGAACTCAGGACCTTTGGGAGAGCAGGCAATGCTCTTAACCTCTGAGCCATCTCTTCAGCCCCAAGATTTTTGTTTTTTACAAACCTGTAAGAGTGGCTGATTTTTACAACTCTTAGAACCATTCTAAAGGCTCAAGGAGAATTCGGTTCATTTGTTTTACTAATTATAACTGCTGTGTAGATGCTGTTTACTCGTTTGGAATGACCGTTCCGTAAGGTGGGGGTTGTAATATTTATGAATAACATTATATATAAAACATAAACATTATTGTATTTACTTATATCATTTCCATTTATAGGCCCGGATCTCCAGTTGTTGTTGACTTAGTGTTTGACTTTTAGCTGTTTACAAAACCAAATCCAAAGATGCACCAGATTCCTAAAATAAACTCCCAAGACATTTCTGCTAATGGAAGTGGAACCCAGCAATCACGTAGTTCCTAATTTCTACTTTAGGGCACGATGTACCTGCATGGGTACATTCATATTAAAATTGTTTACCACGGATGTTCGGAATGCTCCCTGGATGACCAACAGGGATGACTTTTCTTCCAGAATTTTCCCTTTCCTGCCATTCTACCAGCACCCATCGCAGTCTGAATTTTTGTGACCTTATCTACCCCAACATCTACTTTGAAAGGGCAGCTCCATGGTTAAGAATGCTTTTGGCTCTTACAGAGACTTAAGTTTGGTTCCCAGCATCCACTTTGCAGGGCTTACAACTGTCTGTACCTCCAGCTCCCTCCGGGGATGTTCTCTTCTGGCCTTCATGGGCAACACACAGACAGACACACACGTAAAAAATATTTTTTAATATCTTTTTTTAAAAATACATTTAAAATGAGAAGGAGCAGCCTTTATGTATCTTGTTTATTGCTGAATCCCCAGTGTTTAAAATAGCTATCATGCCAAATGTGGCATATGCCTGTAATCCAAGCACACTTGGGTTTGAAGCCAGGCTATGTTACATAACCAGTTACCAGGCAAGGCAGGGCCAAATAATATGACCCTTCCTCAAAAAAAAAAAAAAAAAAAAAAAGTTAAACGAATGAATGTTTACCATTATTTTTTACAAGTTTGCAATTTAATCATCCCCCACCCCCAAATGTAGGCAAATAGAGGCCAGCAAAATAGCTCACTGGGTAAATAAAGGTGCTGCCACTAAGCCTGATGATATCCGTTCAGTCCTTGGGACCACGTGGTGGAAAGAAAATTGACTCTTGCAAATTGTCTTCTGACATACACATGTACAGGGTAGAACAAGCTACTACACACATACACGTAATAAGTGTAATTTTAAAAAAGTAATCAAATAGAAGACACTATGTAAAAAGCAATTTATTATATAAGATGAATCTTGAGATGATAATAAAAAATAGTAACACTTGCCATCAGCTTTGTATTCTACCCCATATTCTGGTAAAAGACTCCTATCAGAAACCTCTACCACTAGTACCCATGACCTGCAGCAAATACTTGGTGCTGTACACATAGCTGAGCCCCCAAAAGGAAAAAAATCATTTTGCTTGCTTTCTCCATATGGAAAGTAAAGCTTTTTCATTGGTAAGTACAATGTGGCCAGTCAGAGTTCTTCCCTTTTGGAAATGTAACACCTCATTTACTCTGGTCTTGTGATTGTTTATAAAATGATAGAATAAAGGACAGTCTGGGCAGCACTTAGCAAAAAGCAAGCTTGATTGTCCAGCAACAACCATTTATGAACAACAGGATCACTTGCTGCATAAAGTGCTAAAGAGCCCAGGCAGTGGTGGTGCACACGTTTAATCCTAGCACTTGGGAAGAAAAGGCAGGTGGATCTCAGTGAGCTCGAGGCCAGCCTGGTCCACAGAGTGGGTTCCAGGACAGGCTCCAAAGCTACAGAGAAACCCTGTCTTGAAAGATAAAACAACAAAAAAAAGTGCTAAAGTACTCATGTGAGCTGCAGGAATAGAGAGGGTCCTGTACTTTGTATAACCATCACTTACCTTTCTTGTTGCTCATATGCTGAGTTCTAATCTTGACTGCACTTGTCTAAGTTACTTCGCTATAGGAATCAGTATCTATCTATCTATCTATCTATCTATCTATCTATCTATCTATCTAT